GGGGGCTGCCTGGCACCCCCCCTGCCCGACGGCCAAGCCCCCGGTTGCCCCTCAGCCCACCTTGAGGAAGTAGCCGGAGATCAGGGCTCTCTGGATGTTGAGGACGTTGGCGTCGGTGCCGAAGGCGGGGGGCGAGATGGGCAGCTCGATGCGCCGCATCACCTCCAGCAGCTCCGCCCGCACGGTGCCCGCCAGCCGCAGCGCGTCCCCGCTCACCGCGTGCTTGCGGCACCAGCCCTCGTCCGCGGTGTCTGCGGGGAGAGCGCGGTCAGCACCGTGGGGACGGGGCTGGACCACCCGGGGTGCTGCACGGGACAGTCCCTGTGGTCTCCAGTTTCTCCCCACCTGCCTACAGCCAGCCTGGTGCTTTCTGTCCAGTGCAGAAGGACAGACATCCACCTTTCTAACCCACCGCTGACACCGGCAGCTCGGCCGCAGCACTGAATGCAAGTGCTGGAGGAGATGGAGACAAGCCCAGGCTGCTGGGCAGGTCGGCTCACCCCACAGCTGCCCACATCTGGCAGGAGCTAGATAGAAGAAAATCCCCAATCCTCCCCACCAGGAAGCAGGCAAGAATGGACACTTTTAGCCAAATCCCTTAAATGACCATGAGTTTAAAGGAGCTGATGCTGACAGATGTGCCCTGGTTCATGCATGGAAGCGCTGAACCTTGTCACGAGCAGCCCCTGCAACAGGCAGTCCTGCAGGCAGGCCATGGGGTCAGTCTGTGCCCCAGTGCCAAAGCAAGGTGGGCAGCCAAGCTTCTCCACGAGCACACAGAATGGAGCTCAGGCAACCGGATGTGACAGAGAAGAGGCCACCCACTCAGCTTGCAGCATCTCCAGTTTGTCCACAAATACCCACTCCCCTCCTTGACCCTGCGTGGAATCAGGTGGCTTGGCTGGGCTGGGGGCTCAGGGGCTGTGAAACTGGGCATGGCTGCTCCCACAGACCATGTACCCTCAACGCAGAGGGGACAGGGACCGCGCAGAGAGCATGGCCCCCAGGCTGGGGCACCTGCACGGGGTCACAAAGGGGGCTGTGTGCTCCCAAAAGGAGCAGGGGACATGTGTGGGAGCTGTGGGACACCCGCGGGTGAGGTGAGCAGCCCCTGCTTGGCACTCACGCTGCTGGAAGGCGTTGAAGATGTTGATGAGGGTGAAGTGGTCTCCGTCCGGGTGGAGCAGGGCCCGCCGGCGCATGGTCACCGCCTCCTCCAGGTGTGTGGAAGG